TCCCTTTCTCTCTGTAAAATATCAATAAAATATATTTAAAAAAAAAAAAAGTTCAACTAGTTAACCACCATTGCTCATACTCCATGATCAAGAAGAAAGAGGGTCCTGAGATGCTGGGTGAGCCAAATGTCCAAAGATGGGCACAAATGTGCAAACACAATCCTCTCTCCCAGAAGACGAATCTACTAGGTGGCCCCTTAACCATATGACATTACTAGCACATGCATAATTTTAAAGTAACACTAACAAGGTAAGTCCCTATATCATAATGACAGAACAAGGGGTTCCATAACTCTGCTCAAGTGCAACCAAAGGCATACATCATTATAGATGCAGAAACTACAAATTTAGTAGAAGACACAAACATCAAAAGACTTATTAGGGTAACAGCATAAGTTTTATTAGAACAAAGATAACTCTTTGGGAGATACAACAAGCTTGAGAGCCCGAAGCATGGATCAACCTGCTGAGAAGAATTCTGTAGCCAGCTGTATATGAGGTCCTGAGGCAATATTCTTTGGGGGTGCAGGGAGTCCAACAAATTTTCAGTAACACCAAGAAAACATCAAAAGACGTATTTGAGCAACCTTAAGAAAGTATCTCCTACCCAGAGAAAAACAATAGCAAGTAGAAAACAATGAAGTAATGAACTAAGTCTACAGTGTTGGTGTCTTAAAATAAATTTAAGTGTAATGACAGTAAATATATGTTTATAATGTTTGTATATGTTTATATATTGTATTTGGTTTGGTTTTGTGTAGTGTTTAAAGTGTATTCAAATAATTATCATATTAAATTTGCAATTGCAGTTGATATTGTTTAAGGAAATTGATAATGTTTGCAATCACTGTTTAAATATTAATATTTATTTATTAAAGTTCTATTCATAGATATGTGTTTAGTAAATTCAATATTTAAAAAATACAAATAGACCTCCCTTGCTCTCCAGCAAAGCCTAGCTGAGTCCTCCTACTCAGTGAAGATCAAGGTGAAGATCGAACCATCGTGGCTGACACTAGCCTGGGCCCTCCATGCCCGCACATCCTGGGCCTGCTCAGCAGGCCCAGTCTACTCTCTGCCTGTGACCACATGGAGGCGACCGAGGACTTGACGGCCCCTGCCACCCCAGGGCCTGTGCTTGGCCTCCAGAAGTACAGGCAGCCCAGATCCTGTCCCGGGCGACCCCAACTCCCTCCCCACAGTCCCTGGGAACCTGGAGCCAGGCTGGTGCTGCACCACCCAGGACCAGAGAGCATGGATGAGAAATCCCCAACTGGACATCTAGAGCACCTATCCTGTTCGTTCTCAGTCATCAATGAAAGTTAGCAGTTCTTTAAGGCCCTAAAGGGAAATAAAAGATATTTCATGCTGCAGGGAGGATTCCCTGTGACTTCTGCCTACCATCCATAAAATACTCATCCTTTCAAGTGAGGAGATTGAGACCCAGAATTTAAGTGTCTTGCTGAAGGACATTCAGTTGGCCAGGTAGAGGCAAAATCTAAACCCAACAGGTTCCTCTCCAGGCTCCAACCTGTGTGGTCCTCTGATTAAAGGCAGCATGAGACCCAGTCTTCTTTTTTCTTCTTTTTCTTTTTTTTTTAGGGAGGGAGAGGAGGAGAGAGAGAGAGAAACATCATTGATTGGCTGTCTCCTGCACGCCCCCCCTCCTCCACCGGGCATCGAGCCC